ATCACTTTACTCTCATTCTGCCTTTCAGAGGAAAAGCCATACAGGACTAATACGATATGTATGTTTTATACACCTCTAAGTTCCAACAACAAGTTATGTTCCTTCCTTTTCAACCCAAATCAAATGCTATTTCCTAGGAGAAATTCTATACCTTTCCTTACAGAATTATTCACTCTCAGGTGGGTTAAATCACTCCCAGTGTCACTCCAGTTTGTCCCTGGAGTTCCTAGTATTTGTTAACATCTTTGTACTGTAGAGTTAACCACAGACACAATAGTTCAATCAGAATTGAATATATTTAAATGTAGAACTTACAAGGATCTACTTTGCTCAGCACAATTCTGACAGACATTTGGACAATCACCAAGTAGGAGCTCACTATGACTTTGTCTCTCCAATAAATAAGAACTTAGAAGTGACTTAGTTGCAAAACAAATAAAACTAATTTTTTAAAAAAGAAAATTTCATATAATCAGCCAAATTGAGATCATACTGGCAATTTATTACACTAGTCACTAGGAACAGTAATAAGAATTAATAACCATTAGCTAAATTCCATACACAGCTACTATGTGCTGAATAATTTCTTGATTTTTTTTTTATCATTTGGCCCCTACCATCATTAAGTTTATCATCATCATCTACTTTTTTTAAAAAGATCTATCATATATTTATTTTTATCTGAAAAACAGAGAGAGAAAGGGAAGAAAAAAGGAAAAGAAAGGAAGGAAGAAAGGGAGGAAGGGATGGAGGAAAGGAAAGAAGGGGAGACAGAGAATCTTCCCGCTGGTTCACTCACTAAATGGCCACAACAGCCAGGTCTGGTCCAGTCCAAAGCCAGGAGCCTCTCCAGGTCTCACATGGGTGCTCGGACCCAAGGACTTAAGCCATCCTCTGTTGCTTTCCCAGGCCACAAGCAGGGAGCTGAATTGGAAGTAGAGCGGCTGGGACATAAACTGGTCCCCATATAGGCTGCCAGCAATGCAGGCAGAAGCTTAGACTACTATGCCATGGCACTGACCCTATCACTCAATTTATAGATAAGAAACATAAGAAAACTATTTGTCTCCCCACTCAGCATGACTTCTAAGTAGCAAAACATTGGTACTAAACAGACTGTCTACCAAAAACCTGTTCTCTTCACCTCTATGTGATTATATTTAGATCTCCATTTTAAATACATCTGACAATTTACTGAGGAAAGGAATAAAAGACACAGTCAAATAAAAGGATAAAAGGTCCAGTTTCCTTTTATAATGATTAACCACTTTGCTACGGAGAAATGGCAGGCCCTAATGATAGAGTGTTGAAAATATCAGAGGGGCTGGCACTGCATCTCACAAGCTAAGCCAATGCTGTCATCAGTTCAAGGCCTGACTGCTCCACTTTTGAGCCAGATCCCTACGAATGTGCCTGGTGAAGCAGCAGAAGACAGCCTAAGGGCTTGGTTCCCTGTGCCCATATGGGAGATCTGGAAGAAGCTGCTGGTTATTTCACTATTTGGGGAAGGATTCAACACATGAAAAATTTCTCTCTATGACTTTAAAATAAACAAATACATATATAATATTTAATATTTTTCCTATAGTTTTATTGGAAAGGTAGATCCACAGAGAAGAGAAGACAAGAGAGAAAGATCCTCCATCTGCTGGCCCACTCCCTGCAATGGTTGGAGCTGAGCTGAATCAAAGCCAGCAGACTCCTCCGGGTGTTCCACATGGGTGCAGGGTCCCAAGGCCTCAGGCCATCCTCCACTGCTCCCAAGACCATAAGCAGGGAACTGGATGGGAAGTGTAGCAGCGTGGACACAAACCAGTGCCTACACGGAATTCCGGTGCATGCAAAGTGAGGATTCAGTCACTGAGCCATTGCAACAGGTCCTAAAACAAATCTTTAAAAAAAAAAAAAGATCTGCCAGAAATGGTACTTGGACTACATTATACCAGCCAAAAAAAAAAAAAAAAAGTTGTAATCAGCCAATGACTAGCTAGCTCTAACCCCATAAATAGAAAGATACCAAGCCCTCCAATTTAAAGACTTTGAGATACCGGATTCCCTAACAAAGATGAAAGATCCAGCTTGCCCAATATGAAACCTAGAAGGGAGCACTTAGACGTAGGTGACACTTGAATCTGAGTCATGTGAAACTTACAAAACTGTATGAGGTAGATTCTTCTACACTACATAAGGATTTTAGATTTCACTAAGACTATAAACCGTGGGAGTCAAATGAGGAATCCGGTGATTACAAACACTTTCACATTTAGTCGTACAAAACAGCAAATGATTTACTTCCAACATAGTGCATACAATCAAGAGTTGACATAAAAATACGTGTCCCACCCCTGCATGGATGGTCACTAGAGTGAAACAAGCAGACACTGCTGGCAAGAAGGCGAGCAGCTATTCACACACGAGTCAGATTTCATAACACGAGTTTAGAGAGCTGTATTGGTGGCTTTTTTCTATTATTTGTGGGAAAGGGAGAAAAAAAATCAAAGATGACAACTGATTTTATATCAAGAATATCTCATGAAAGGACGAATCTCAGAGGACAGAGCTTTGAAAAACATGCAAAGTAAGTGTATGAAAAGCTTGAGGTCTCAGTCAACAGAGACATTCTAGAGAAGAGCATCTTCCAGGTCAGCGCTGGGGTCAGCCCAAAGCCCAGCTGCTCTGCTTCTGATCCAGCTCCCTACTAACGTGCCAGCAAAGGCACTGGAAGCCAGACCAAGTCCTTGGGACCTTGCCATCATCTCAGTGGAAGACACGTGTGTCACTCCTGGCTTCAGTCTGGCCAATATCTGGCTCTTGTGGCCATTTGGCGAGTGAACCAGCAGGCTGAAGATTCACATTTATTTTTCTCTCATCAGCAGATGGAAGATTCATCCCCCCTTCCCTGTTAGCCTGCTTTTCAAATAACACATGCACACATCTGGAAACAGAACATCTTCCATTAAACTTTGTCAATATTCATTAACCCAGTTTGTACTGGGCTTCTCTGCTTTGTCTCACACAACTAACAGCAGAGCCAGAATCTGTCACCATCCTGGGAGCCCCACTTCAGCAGCACTTCCCTCCCTCCATCGGACACACTTTCCTGGCTCCAGAGCGTCAAACACAAACTGAAGCCATTTTGCTTAGATTAAAGAGTTGCTTCCAAAACTAAGCACACCTGGGCCCAGCACAGTAGCCTATGACTAACGTCCTCGCCTTGCCCACACCGGGATCCCATATGGGCACTGGTTTGTGTCCTGGAGGCCCCACTTCCCATCCAGCTCCTTGCTTGTGGCCTGGGAAAGCAGTCAAGGATGGCCCAAAGCTTTGGGACCCTGTACCCACGTGGGAGACCAGGAGAAGCTTCTGACTCCTGGCTTGGGTTGGCAGAGCACTAGCTGTTGCGGCCACTTGGGGTGTGAATCAGAGGACGGAAGATCTTCCTCCCTGTCTCTCTCCCCCCTCCTCTCTGTATATCCGACTTTCCAATAAAAATAAATAAATCTTTAAAGAAATAGAAACTGAGCACAACTAATTTCAGTGTGCTCTGTTATTTCTCAGGTTCTCCTAAACCTTCCTTGAAATAAGTTTCAAGTAACATCCATCCTCTCTCCATTTCTGAAATCACTGCACCTGATGTACTTTTCTGAAATCACTGCACCTGATGTACTTGGGAAGCAAGGACTGGGCTCACTGCCTGAGGTTCCCAATCACTCCACCTGCAAGACTAACAAACTCCCACAGGCAAACCTGTGTGTGGGTACAATTAATACATAAACTACTCGGTTCTTTCATTGGATTTGGACAAGACAAATTTTAGCCCCTTTTCTCACAATCAGAATTTCTGTCTAGGTACTCCTTTTTGCATGACTCCACTGGAAACAACACCTCCATTTAGAACCTGTCCCAAGAAAGCAGCCAGGCATACAGGAAAATAAAATATGTATCAGATCCCTACAAAGAGAGAGAAAAACTCTGGCTTTTGTTTTCTCACATTCGAAACAACAACAAAAAAAACAGTGAAAGAGAAATACTCCCAGGCCCTAGGCCAAATTTCACAAATCTTCCAAAGCAATCTTGCCCAACTTCTCACTTCTTGTACCATTGAGGAAACACAAACCCCTTCTTCAGTCTCCTCGGCGATCCGAAATCGGCCCCGAAAACAGTACTTTGTGGCCCAGAAATACTCGGCCGCTGACATGAGCTCTACCAGCATCAAGCATGTCATTAAAACAAAGTGACAGCCACTCCTGGCCTCACCACCCCCACCTGGACCAAGAGAGAGCAGGCAGCACCCTGGGTTCCTGAGTTTATACTTAACGCCGACCAGCTGCGTGTCCCCCACCCCACCCAGCACAAGGTTAGCGGTGGAACCTCCACGGTCAGGGCCACTGGTGGGGCTGCGGGCGAGGGGAGGGGAGGGGAGGACAGGGGTAGGGGAGGCTTGCCAAGGTTGGGCCACACTGCCCGGCCACGCTGCCTGGCCACACTGCCAGGCCACACTACCTGGCCACACCTCCGGCCACACTGCCTGGCCACACTGCCTGGCCACGCTGCCCGGCCACACCGCCCGGCCACACTGCCCAGCCACACTGTCCGGCCACGCCGCTGGCCACACTGCCCGGCCACACCACCTGGCTACACCGCCCGGCCACGCCGCCCGGCCACGCCGCCCGGCCACACTGCCCAGCCACACTGCCCAGCCACACCGCCTGGCTACACCGCCCGGCCACGCCGCCCGGCCACGCCGCCGGCCACACTGCCCAGCCACACTGCCCGGCCACACCGCCGGCTACACCGCCCGGCCACGCCGCCCGGCCACGCCGCCCGGCCACGCCGCCGGCCACACTGCCCAGCCACACTGTCCGGCCACACTGCCCGGCCACACCGCCTGGCCACCGCTCGCTCCCAGCCCCGCCCCCGGCCGCCCGGCTCCGCCGCAGTCCCCGCGCGGCCGCGACAGCGCACGCCCTGGACCCCTTCCCGCAGCCCTCGGCACGTACCAGCTTTGCAAACCGGGGCGCTCGGGCTCCTCTTCTCCGGGGACACTCGGCTCTGCTCCGGGGACCTCCTCCGGTGGCGGACCCGGGCTGGGGGTGGGGCCGCGCTCACCTCGCCGGTCCACAGGTGGGTGGGCGACGAGGAAGGCGGCGACGACGACGACACGGTACCCAGCAGCGGCGGCGGAGGCTGCGGCCGAGGGGGGCTCCCTCGGGCCCCCGGCGCGGCGCCGCGCGTGGGGCTGGTGCCTCGCGTGGACGTCACGGACGCGCCCGTCTGCGTGGCCACCGTGGGGCTGGTGCGCGCGGCCGTGCTCCCGCCGCCGCCGCGCGTGGGGCTGGTGCTGCGTGAAGCGGTTCGTGGGGCCCCGCCGCCGCCGCCGCCGCCTGAGGGGCCTGAGGCGCCGCCGCCACAGCAGCCGCCGTTGTTGTTGCCGCCGCCGCCGCCGCCGCCGTTGCTCCGCGTGGGGCTGCCATGTTGCTGCTGCTGCTTCAGCTGGAACGGAACCGTCGCCCTCATGGGCTGCAGGCGGCTGCCGGCTCCCCCGGCCGTGGCGACCGTACTGGCCCCGACAGAACCAGCCGGCGTGGGGGACCCATTGCGCCTCACTCGCTGGGACATGGTCCCCCTCCCCACCTCCCACTCCCCAGTGACTGGGCGAGACGGAAGGCGTTTGTTGTTGTTGGGTTGCGAGGGGAAGATTCTCGAAGCCGGAGGCAAGACCACCCCGGCCCCGCGATGGGGTGACGAAGCCAGACTCCGGGGTGCCGGGGGGTGGGGGTGGCGAGCAGCGGGCCGCGGCCAGCAGCAACGAGGTGGTGCAGCCGTCGCCGCCGCCGCCGCTCCTCATCAACAATAGTGTCTCCGCCGCTGCCCCCGCCCCTCGCGGGCGTCCATTGGTGCAGCGTCAGCCGCGCTCGAGCCGCTCCACCGCGCCCATTGGTTGCGAGCAGCTCGGGTCCCGGACCCCCGGGGCCTTAGAGAGCCAGGGTTTGCGCGGAGACCGTCTGCTCTTTAAAGAGAGAGACCCGCCCCCCGGGGGGGAGGGGGTGCGGAGAGGACGCGCCGTGCGTGTGTGTGCGTGTGTGCGTGTGTGTGTGCGCACGTGAGAGGGCGCGTACGCGCGGGGCTGACCACGCGCATCTCCTGCATCCCGCACGGAACCCCGGGGGACCCAGACTCCAACGGGAATGTCTGAAACCTTGGCACCCATAACTCCTGGCATCCGCACACTACTGTTACCACGTACGCGCCTCGCCCTCTGCCTTTGCCCCCACCCCTTTTTGATCTTTTTGTTCTGTCCTATTCCATCTACCTGTGGGAAGGGCTCCAAAGAAGAAGAAACCTGAATCAGTCTTACTGACAGGTTACACCCCCTCTCTTCTTTTTCTTCTGCTTGAAGCTCTCAGCTCTCAAGCTTGAGAAACTCTCAGCTTCTCAAGCTTCTCTTGTGGAGAACTCGATTTTAGGCAACATCTGCAGAGCCCACCTACCAGTGCTATTGTCCACCCTCCTGTATGTAGCTCAGGTAATGGAGACTCTACTGCTTCACGATTCCCTGGCACCTTGTAAAGATGTCTACTACTACCTTATGAGTCGGCAGGCTGCTATAGTCTACAGAGGGTTTTATTTGGTCCTCGTGATCACTGAGATATACCCAAGCAATTTCCCGCCCCCTCCCCAGCCCCTGTGTTTTTGTGTTGAGGAGGGAACAGGTCTTTTGTGTATGGGCAAGGACTCAGAAATGTAGGCGGTGACCCTAGTTCTAAAGGGCCACCCATCAAGACCAGAAGACAGACCCATACCGACACTCCTGCTGCTCTGCGATTAATTTCCTGTCCATGGTCTCTTCCCTTCACCCCTTTATTAGGTATGCATACTAGACGGATTCCATGCTGCACGAATGTGGGAGTGGTGGGCAAGGGATGACTCACCAGGGACCTACAACTCCTACTGAGTCACTGAGCACTGTGGCAGAAAGCCTAGGAGAGCAGGAAAGAGGCTGTGATCCCAGACCCACTACTGACTTACTCTTTGACCTTGGGTACGTCACTGGCCATTTTCCTTATCTGTAAAATGCAGTTAAGCATAGCATCCCCTACACAGTTGTGATTAATTAACCAAAGGTTAAACGAGAATGTGTGGAAGGCGCTCAGCAATTCCAGCATCTCCACGTGATTCAGAACCCACCATCTCTGCTCACCACCTGTGTGCTCTCTCCTCCTCCCTCCTACACAGAAAGAGGTTCCCAGCCTTTAGCCCTAGAGCTTGCTGTAAGTTGTCTGAAGTCTTACAAAGACTTGACATGGCCCATTCACCACAACCCAGAGGGCAAAACACCTTTTCACCAGATAGAAACCTACAGGAGGCCGCTGATACCATTCACACAGCTGGATCGGGTTTTAAACAGCGCCTAAGGGTCTGGCTTCCTTGTTGCTGAAGTCATCGCCTTGGATCCCGTTTGGGAACCGGTTTGTTTCCTGGCTGCTCTGCTTCTCATCCAGCTCCCTGCTTGTGGCCTGGTAAAACAGTCGAGGATGGCCCGAAGCCTTGGGACCTTGCACCCACGTGGGAGACCTGAAGAAGCTCCGGGGTTCAGATTAGCTCAGCTCTGGCCGTTGCAGGGCCTTGGGGAGTGAACCAGCAGATCTTTCTCTCTGTCCTTCTCTATATCTGCCTTGCCAATAAAAAATTAATAAATAGATTTTTAAAAAGAAAGAGAAAAACAGTGGGTTAGAGAGAAGAATTGCCTTTAAACAAAGACCTGGAAGTTGCTTGGGGCACTTTGGCTTGCACCACATAGGAACTCATTACATATTTACTGAGTTAAACCAAACTGAGTATGGTAGCTCTACTGACCCAGGCGCTCTGGTCAGTTAAAGGGCTTTCACATTTTCTCACTTGAAGAATGGGTTTTCATCAGAGAATTTTGTCCCATCAAACAGTTAAAATGTCTTTATTTCAATAAAGATGTATGGTGAAGATAGTTCACCTTTGGCCTCCAGTTGTGTTTCTAATACAAACTCAAATGCTATAGTTTCAGCAAATACTTCTTTTTCATCCTACTTGACAACTGAATTCAGCTTAGAAACTAATGAGCCTAGTTCAATTGAAGCAGGTGTTAACCATTTCAGCTTTCCTTGTAACAGGTGATATTTGAGCTGACTTGTAAATTAAAAATTTGAAAGAATGAAATCATGAAAATATGCTTATTTAAAAAAAAAACCCTCTTGGACACCACATGACCCTTCAGTCTGCTTTATGATTTAGTGGTGCTGGGGAAAGCACCATTTACTCTTGCCCTTGACTTCATTATGTGGTATAGAATATCCAGAGTAAACAATGCATGAAAGTGATGCATTGGTCTTTAGCTTGCTAGTTTATCTATGAAGAGAGTCCCTGTATTTCAAGGATGAACAGAATAAACATGTCTCCCTCTGTTTTAACCATGCTTTTCTTAGGATATAATTCAAATTGTCCATTTCCTCTCCAGGGTTGGAATGCGACTTTAGGAAGTTGCAGACAAGAAGCAGCATTTCAGAAGTTGTTGCTGCATACTGAAACTCTGCAAGACAAAATGACAGATAGGCTTGTTTGTCTTGTGCTTCCTCAACCCTACATTGAGCCTGTGGGGATAAGGAATGAGGGGTTTATACAGCCAGTAAAATGAGACTTACTGAAATCTTACATTCCTTTCACTCTACAACAGAAAGAAATCAAATGATGCATCTGTTATAGCTACAACACAATACAAAAATTTTATGCATTGTCAGATATTAAAGGATAAAAATATTGACATGAAAATATGAGGATACATTTAAAAGTTCATGGAAAAATAGAATTCAAGGGTATGTTTATTTTGGTGCCAAAAAGTTTTAAAATAATATATCATTTCTGTGAACTTTCTGGAGACCTCTCCTTGTCTTTTCTTTTTCTTCCATTTTTATGGCTGGCAGACAATAATGCAAAAAAAAAAAAAAAAAACCATGAATCTCCTGGCTCACTCCACAAATGCCCACAACAGCTAGGATTGGGGCAGGCCCAGGCCAGGAGCCTGGAATTCCACTTAGGTCTCCCACACAGATAGCAGGCGTTGAAGTGCTCAAGCCATCAACTGCCACTCCCCCTCCACCCACAGGAATTCATAGGAAGCTGAGATCTGAAGCAAAGCAGCAACTCATCCCAGACACTCAGATGTGCGATGCAGCATCCCAAGTGATGATTAACCGCTTTTCCAACTGCCTATCCCTAATTCTCTCTCTCTCTCTCTCTCTCTTTTTAAAATATATTTATTTAAGCGTTATCAGAGAGGGAGAGAAAAGGAGATTCTTCCATCTACTGTCACTCCCCAAATAGCTGCAACAGCCAGGGCTGGGACAAGTTGAAACCAGACTGGAACCAGCAGCTTCATCCAGATTTCCCAAGGGCTTGCAGGGCCCCAAGTACCTGGGGCATCTTCTGCTGCTCTCCCAGACACTTTAGCAAGAAGCTGGATGGGAAAAGGAGCAGCAGGATTTGAACCAGAGCTTGCTCATATGTGATTCTGATGTCACGTGGGCAGCAGCTTAACTCACTGTGCTACAATGCCAACACCCCAAAATAGTCATTTTTTTTAAAGATTTATTTTATTTTTATTGGAAAGGCAGATATACAGAGAGGAGAGACAGAGAGGATGATCTTCCATCTGATGATTCACTCCCCAAGTGAGCGCAACGGCCGATGCCATGCTGATCCGAAGCCAGGAGCCTCTTCCTGGTCTCCCACGCGGGTGCAGGGTCCCAAAGCTTTGGGCCGTCCTCAACTGCTTTCCCGGGCCACAGGCAGGGAGCTGGATGGGAAGCTGGGCCGCCGGGATTAGAACCGGTGCCCATATGGGATCCCAGGCGGTGCAAGCTGAGGACCTCAACCACTGCGCTACCGTGCCGGGCCCCAAATAGTCATTTTTAACAAATGATTGGGGAGTTCCCCTCCCCTCAAGAAATTTTTATGTGAAATTTTCCAATAAAAAGTGGAGAATTACCAGAGTTTGAATTACTGAGTGGTATTTCATGTTACCTCACTGAGACTTTCGTCTTAGACCATTTGATTTAAACCTCCCAAGCACCATCCACTCTCTCTCTGGTTATGCCTGGGCCACTTCTGCTGGCTCCCTCTCAGTCTGAAACGGTGAGACTACTTCAGGATCCAGGTAAGCCCCTCACTCCACTCACTCCCTGAACTGATACCTGCATTTGTGTCCAGAATTCTTCTGACCTACAGACTGTCCTTCATTCACTGTTCTGCTTGGCATCGCCTCTGGTATATCTCACAGGTGCCACAAAGCTTACAGCCAAATTCATCAGGTCCTCATCATCCACTCACCAACACGCTCCTCCTGCAAGTGTCTTATCTCAGTGCATGGCTTCCATCTACACAGCCTTCTCTGAGCGCCCTATCTAAGCATCCCATTCCCCACCTGTAGACTGTTCTCCCCACACACCCCAAAACACAGTCACCTCAGCCAACTACCTAAGCATTCTCCTAGGATGAAGTCTTCAGTTCTAAGGCTTCCTGTACTTCTGATGGGTTCTTCTCCTCCTGCCCCCCACCCTGCTGCTCTTCCTTTGTTATCCCCAAATGCCTCACATTGCTATTCTTTCTTAGGCTTCACATTTGCTATTTCCTCTGTTTAGACTACTCGTTTCTTTTGTCACTAGGCCAACT